CATGACCTGAGCCGAAGGCAGACGCTTAATGACTGGGGAGAAGCAGGCTTCCTGCGGAGCAGGGAGCCTGATGTGGGGCTCGATCCCAGGACCCTGGGATCATGACCTGAGCTGAAGGCAGACGCTTAATGACTGGAGCCACCCAGGCACCCCAGATTGTTGGTTTTTTTTTTTTAAATGAAAGAGATGTATCTCTTATTTTCTATAAAAATGAACTCATGCCCACTATCCAGAAAGTGAAAAGACTATTCTCAAAACGGAAGAAAATATTTGCAAATCATATGTCAGATAAGGGTCTAGTGTCCATAACATATAAAGAGCTCTTAGAACTCAACTATAAAAAGATAAACAATTCAATTTAAAATTGGGCAAATGGGGCACCTAGATAGCGCAGTCGGTTAAGCAGCCAACTTTTGTTTTCAGTTCAGGTTGTGATCTCAGGTTGTGAGGTCAAGCCGCATGTTGGGCTCTGCGCTCAGTCTGGAGTCTTCTTGGGTTTCTCTCTCCCTCTCCCCTGTTCTCTCTCTCTCAAATAAATAAGTCTTTTTTAAAAATTGGGCAAATGTTTGAATAGATATTTCTCTGTAGTAAATACATAAATGGCCAAAACCTCATGAAAAGATGCTCAACATCATTAGTCATTAGGGAAACTCAAATCAAAATCACAATGAGATACCATGTCACACCCATTATTATAGCATGACTATAATTATATTAGTATAATATAATAATAAAATAATTAAAAAAGACAATAACAAGTGTTGAGGATGTACAGAAATTGGAACCCTCACGCATTGCTCATCAGAATGTGAAATGGTGCAGTCACTGTGGAAAACAGTGTAGTCACTCCTCAAAAAGTTAAACAGGATTTTCATATGACCCAGCAATTCCACTCCTAAGTATATACCCAAAAGAATTGAACACAGGTTATCAAACAAATACTTGTACCCAAATATTCATAGCAGCACTACAATAGACAAGAGGGAGAAACTGTAGGAACAACCAGATCCATCAACAGATGGATGCATAAACAAAATATGATACACCCTCATGATGGAATATTATTGAGCCATAGAAAGGAATGAAATACTGATACTTGCTACAACATGAATGAACCTTGAAAACACTATGCTAAGTGAAAGAAGCCAGACAAAAAAGGCCACACGTATTACATGATTCTATTTATATAAAATATCCACAATAGGCAAATCCCCAGAATCCAGTAGTGGTTGCCTGGTGTTGGTGGGGACAGGGAATGGGGAGTGATTGCTTTGTGGATATGAGGTTTCCTTTGAGGGTGATAAAACATGTCGGAACTAGACAGAGGTAATGGTTGCACAATGTTGTAAATATACTAACTGACCCTGAATTATATACTTTAAAATGGTTAAATTTTGTTATATTAATTTTACCTCAATAAAAACAAAGCCAAAAAAAATTAACTCAACCTACTCTCACCATGTTGTAAACTTCTTCATTCAAAACAGTATAACAGTATATCATAAACATTTTTCCATATTAATAGATACTTCTATGCAAGTGTTTTTTAATGGCTGCATATGTTCCCCATAGCATAGTGAATCCGTTATAGTATAGAGTGGAATTTAATCAATCCCATATTGTTAAATATTTAGGTTGTTCCCAATTTTTTGCTATTACAAATAGCACATAACAGGCATACATTAGCTAAAAATAAATAAATAAAATTTAAATAAATAAGAAGGTAAATAAATAATTTTGAAATAAAAAAGTAAAAGGGTGGAAAATAAATTTTTTGAATATGAATCTTGGCCATTTCACTTCCCCACCCCCAAAAAATATTTCATAGGGCTCCAAAATTGTGAACACACAAAAAACAGAGGGGTTTCAATTTCCTTCTTTTTATTATTTTAACTGTATAGCTCGACTCATTCCTTGTATAAATAATATTGCCATTATAAAAAGAAAACCACAAATGTTTATTGAAATAAAGAATACAGAATGTGAAAATCCCCCCCCCGCCAATCTCCCCCAGATGGCCATTATTAAACATGGTATTGATGTCTTCTGATTTCTTAATACTGACATATGGTACTAGAATCTTCATTTTCTTTTAGTTACTTCATCCCATGCCACCAGTTGTCTTCCTGCTTTTGTCAGGAGGAACTAAATGCAAACACGTTAAGGAAGCAAGCTGACAGAACCTGTCACAGTTTCCTGGGACTGTCATAACAAATTACTACAAACTGGAGACTTGAAACCTTAGCAAGAGGTCTGAAATCCAGGGGGACTAAATGACCAGTATTGTCAGACTGGTTAAAAATAATCTAATTTTATCTGGCTTGCAGAAGATGGGAATCATCTGAAATACAAGGATACAAGAAATCAGAAAGTAGAAGGATGGAAAGAAACATACCACATGGCTATTAATTCAAATGAAACAAATACGGCCATATTAACAATTCTATTAACATGTGAACAAAGAAATTTTATAGGCAAAGTGTTACAGAGACACAAAATGTCATGTAACAATAAAAAGTTGAGTTCACTGGTAAAATAAAATAATTTTAAACTTGTATGCACCTAATAATATGGCCACAAAATATATAAGCTCTAGTCACAAATATTAATATTCTACTTATGAAATGATAACAGCCACCTATAAAGGGACTTTTGGTTAATATTTTATGTCATTTACAAACTAACTTAAACTTCCTTAAACCTTTAAAACAGCATCTGTAACATTTAATATACTTGATTTTTATTTTTAAGCCATTCGACTATCTAATAACTGCAACAACAAAAAACCTTTCCAAGAGTGTCCACAGTCCTTATCACTTACACTGCACAGAGGTACTAGTCTCACAGCCCAATTCTTCTATTGGATGCAAATCTACCACTTTTTTTTTTAAAGATTTTATTTATTTATTTGACAGAGAGAGAGAACACAAGTAGGCAGAGTGGCAGGCAGAGAGAGAAGGAGAAGCAGGCTCCCCGCCGAGCAGGGAGCCCGCCGAGCAGGGAGCCCG